GCCTGCCTTTGTGATGATGACAGTGTGTATCAGGTTTCTGCTTAACTTCAGATCTTCTTTGGGTATCTTCCCAGTGTTATTAGAAACCTGAGATATTTCCCTACTTACTTGCAGGAGGAGCCAGCATGTTGCACAACTGCAGGGGCCCCATTCATCTTAGAGTGTATGGATTAGACCAGGGCATCAAGGGCCGTAGGCAGCATGCAGTGCTATGTGCAGGTGCTAGCAGGGAAGGCATGGTAGGTGAAGGTTTCTGTTTCTTTGGTGCATTAATATGGAATTATTTTTCAAAATGGATTCTAGCCATACCCTTGTTATTCCATGTTTTTAAACCAGATCATTCATCTTGAGGAGTACTCAGCCAACTCTAGGTACAGCTTTTCCTCCAGCCCCTCAGCCACTGCTTGACAGGGTTGTGAGGCCACAGCCTGTGAGAGATCAATCTGGAGAATTATTAGGTGTCTCTTAAGTTGCTTTAAAATCGCTTGGAGGCCAATCCTGAAGTTTAGGAAAAGAGTGTGCTTGTGTTTCTTCTGTTTACTCCTTTCTCGTCTAAGTGTTCTTGTCCTTCAGTTGACTCTGGAGACTAGAATATGAGTAAAGAACATGAAAGGGATTTCAGTTAAATATTAGAACCTTTCAAGTTTCAGGGCTTTCAACTGAGCTTAGTGACGTGCCACCGATGACCAAGGTTCCATTATATCCTGAAGGGATATTTCTCTAAGGCCAATTAGGCATCAATCATTAATCAGACACTTTACAAATGGTATTTATATTAGGTTGAATCTTATGACCTTGCCATTTTTGTAGATCAGAAATAGTTGGATATTGGCAGTTTCCCATGGTTTTACCTGGAGTCCTCTGGAGAGGCCATGTAGCATTGTGCTTCAGAATAGGGACCTGGGACCTGTATGCCTTGTGCTGGGCTGGAATTTTCACCTTGGCACTTATTTGTATGTGACATTGGACAGGTCACCCACTGCCATTGGCTGACATTGATTGCTCTGAAAATGGGGTGATTGTGGTTCCACACCATAGGGTTGTTTTTAACATTAAATATGTCCATGTATGTAAAGCACCTAGGACAGGGCCTGGCACACGGCTCACTCTGTGTGTGGTTTTTTTCATGACTTCTTCATTCTTAGGACCTTCACAGTTTCTGCCATATCTGTGTGCCACCTGTGTAGTCGTTGTCTTGGTCAGCACAGGCTGCTATAACAAAGTACCAGGGACTGCGTGGTTAAACAGACATTTATTTCTCATAGTTCTACATGTCGGAAGTCTGAGATCAGAGTGCCAGCATGGTCGGGTTCTGGTGAGGGCCCTCTTCCTGGCTCACGGAGCTGTCTTCTTGCTGTGTCCTCCCGTGGCAGAGAAAGCGTGAATGAGTGAACAAACTCTCTGTCATCTCTTCTTAGAAGGATCCTAATCTCATCATGATGGCCCTGCCCTCGTGACCTTATTTAATCTTAATTACCTCCCAAAGACTCCACCCATCTCCAAGTGCATATTGGGGGAGTTAGGGCTTCAAAATATGACTTCTGGAGAGACCCAGTTCAGTACATAGCAGTCATTTATTTAGTGTTTTTCTTTAAAAGTGGCAATTTTAAAAACAGGAATAACTTGGGCCGGGCATGATGGCTCATGCCTGTAATCCCAGCACCTTGGGAGGCAGAGGTGGGCGGATCACGAGGTCAGGAGATCGAGACCATCCTGGCCAACATGGTGAAACCCCATCTCTACTAAAAATGCAAAAAAATTAGCCAGGCGTGGTGGCGGGCACCTGTAGTCCCAGCTCCTCGGGAGGCTGAGGCAGGAGAATGGCGTGAACCTGGGGGCGGAGCTTGCAGGGAGCTGAGATCACGCCACTGCGCTCCAACCTGGGCGACAGAGCGAGACTCTGTCTCAAAACAAAACAAAAAAACAGGAATAACTTATTTCGTTCATTCTTGGATGCTTTTCTTGCTTTTGTATATCGTCTGTGAAATTAGAATGTCTCTTTTTTTTTTTTTTTGAGTCACTCTGTTGACCAGGCTGGAGTACAGTCTATGACCATGGCTCACCACAGCCTCTATCTCCTGGGCTCCAGCAATCCTCCTGAGTAGCTGGGACTACAGGTATGTGCCACCATGCCCAACCAATTTTTGTATGTTTTATAGAGACAGGGTTTCACCATGTTGCCCAGGCTGGTCTTGGAATTCCTGGGCTCAAGGGATCCTCCCACCTTGGCCTCCCACAGTGCTGGGATTACAGGCATGAGCCACCATATGCTGGGCACTGTGGGATAATATCTTAAAATCCATGACATGTCCTGGTTTAATTTTTTTCTTGTCCACTAAAAGATATAATGGCTGATGGCATCATGGATTTGGTAGGAAATGGTATTTTCGTGGGGTTTTTTTTGTGTTTTTGTTTTTTTTTTGAGACAAGGTCTTGCTCTGTCACCCAGGCTGGAGTACAGTGGTGCAATCACGGCTTACTGCAGCCTTGACCTCTTGGGCTCAAACGATCCTCCTGCCTCACCCTCTGGAGTAGCTGGGTCTGCAGGCACATGCCACCACACCCAGCTAATTTTTAAAACATGTTTTATAGCGATGGAGTCTTGCTATGTTGCCCAGGCTTAAACTCCTGGGGTCATTCAGGTGATCCTCCTTCCCCAGCCTCCCGAAGTGCTGGGATTACAGGGATGAACCACCATGCTCAACCCCTTTAAAATGGTATTTTTTAAAGGAAATATTATCAAGAGTGTGTGCTAGTTATGTTTTTCCAACCCATGTTAAAATGAATAAATGTCTGTTGTTTTAAAAAGTCCTTCTGTGTACCACCTTGCAACCTCTGTGGATTAGCAGTGGACTCCTGGCTTACCCTTTGGGAAACATGAATGTAGAATGTAGTGTATGGTTTTCGAATCAGGTTTTGTGGCTCAGCCTCTTCACCCAGCATGGCTGTGCTTTGGTTGGTCTCACGCACCAACCTTACTTAAGGTTTGGATTAGGGGAAGGACTTTTACTACTAAAGAGGTTGGAAAACCACACGTTTTGGGAGGCTGAGGTGGGAGGATCACCTGAGCCCAGGAGTTCAAGACCAACCTGGGCAACATGGCGAGACCCTGTCTCTATAAAAACTAAAAAAAGGGAAAAAAAAAAAGCCGGGCATAGTGGCTCGTGCCTGTGGTTCCACCTACTTGGGAGGCCAAGGTGGGACAATCATGTGAACCCAGGAGATCCGGGCTACAGTGAACCAGGTTCACATCACTGCACTCTGGCCTAGATAACAGAGTGTGAGACCTTGTCTCAAAAGAAAACCACATCAGTAAGCCATCTTCTCGTTTGCCTCACTAACATCCTGTTGAGGTGTCCCACAAACCAAACAGGATGTGGGGGTGCGGAGGATTATCCCCTCTAGGAGCAAGTTGCCCCATCTGGTTGAGGGAGTGGTGGTTCTGTCACCACTAGAGCACGTTGAGTGCTGCAGAGATGGCTGGCGACAGGGATGTCTGGCCTGGCAGATGTCGCCTTCAAGGAGGGAGTGTGCTCATTGCAGGCTGCTTTCTGGGATGAGAGTAGGCTAGTAATGCGATGCCTGGGGCCTTCCCTGATATAGAAGGCACTGGACAGGCATGTAATACGGATAAGGTAGAGAGGGTGATGGATAGTTTTTTAGATTTTCTGAATGGCCTTTTTCTCCATTTCCTGGTTTTGTTTTGTTTTGTTTTGTTTTAAAGCTGCATCCTTTTGCATTGAATGAAACCCCATCAAGGGCATCTCTTAACTCTTCTTCCCTTCTCTTGGCCAGGGCTGGTGTTTTTTGTGTGTTTGTGACTGACAATGCAGAATGGAGAATTTGGAGAAGGTAGTTTTGCCTTTTTTCCTACAGGAAGAGGGACTTGTCTACAAATAAAGGGGTCTGCCTTTCAGTCCTTTGAAGCCACCTGGTCTGACAAAGACAGTCTCCCTGTCCCTTTTTGAACCTTAAGCTGAGCAAAAAATTACTTAGTTGCTGAAAGCGGGTCAGTGTAGAGGACTTCCTGCACTCCTGCTTTGACTTCATCTGCAAGAGAGCTGAGAAATGAGTGAGGCATTTCTGCTTCTTGAGACTTCTCTTGGTGTGGCAGGGCATCCTGTTGAGGAGGGACTCCATTGCCTCGTGCCCCGGGTATAAACAGTCCCAGAGGGCTTTGGAATCAGCCTGGGTCAATTCTGGAGGAAAAATAAGGCCTAATAAGCATGCCTCTTTTCCCAAAATGTAGCCGCAGGGGTCTAAGCAGCTGATTGTGGGGTCCAGGGCCACCAGGAGTCTTGGCTGGTCCAGCGTATCTTGATTTGTTAGGAAGGTGGATTTGAATTCAGTCTAGAGAAGATAACGTGCCTATTGTGCAGAATGCAGACCTTTTTGTTCAAGGCTGTGTGCATTTGGAAGTAGAATGACAAAGCAGTGTAGATTTACACAGAGCATCTTTGAGTCTGTTACAACCCTAAGTTTTATGGTTTTGAGCCAGGAAAGTACTTTTCACATTCTGTCTTTGCAGTCCTGAGATTTTACTGTGGTGGCACTGGTTATGAGATAAGACTCACAGTTACAAAATTCCAAGCTGAGGATTATCATCTAGAACCACTCCATAGTTGGATCCTTGGGCTCACTCTTCACTCTGTCACTCACAGCACCTGTCACAATGCATGTATGTTACCCAGAGGGTGCCCAGTAAATTTATTGAACAAGTTTCTAAACTTCCAGATTGCTTTCTGATTGGACAATAATGACTGTTCTTTTTTTTTTTTTTTGAGACGGAGTCTCGCCCTGACGCCCAGGCTGGAGTGCAATGGCATGATCTCGGCAAACTGCAACCTCTGCCTCCCAGGTTCAATCAATTCTCCTACCCCAGCTGCCCAAGTAGCTGGGATTACAGGCGCGCACCACCATGCCCAGCTAATTTTTTGTATCGTTAGTAGAGACGGGGTTTCACCATGTTGGCCAGTCTGGTCTCAAACTCCTGGCCTTGTGATCCGCCCGCCTTGGCCTCCCCAAGTGCTGTGGTTACAGGCGTGAGCCACCGCGCCTGGCCAATGTCAGTTCTTTTTGAGACCTTGACCATTACACTGAATCCATTACACTGAAGTTTCTTGAGACTGTACCATGATTGGGGTGGGAAATAAATGTTGTGTGCAGTTTTGGATTTGGAGAACTTTGTGGGAGTGAAGAGTCAAGAAGGATGCTTTTAAAAGCATAACTCTTCTATCTATTTTTTAATAACAGCTGACGTTGCAATTCATGGGAACAATGAATTTTGTCTTTTCTGAAACTTAGTAACCACTTGGTCTGTCAACAATTATTTGAGTAGTCTACTGGGCAGGCAATAAAGCAGTGATCAATAGATTTGGAGATGGATAAAACAGTTGGTTTTCTCTCACTCCCCTCCTTTAGGGAGGGAAAGGTATATATGAGACAGTGATTAAGAGCATTAAATGAGGGAGGCAGGCGGTGTCAGAGTGCCTTGTTTGAACATGGGTCCAGCTGACTGTGTGTTTCTTTGAGTATATGACCTCCTGAGCCCAGGTTCCTTATCATCCCATGGGGCAGTAATCACTCTCCTGCCCACCTTACCGGGAGGAAGTGGATGTGACCTGAATTATGAGTTGTAAAGACTGAACACTGGAAATGATTGCCACTGATAGAGAAAGGGTGTAAGAGTGGCCCTTTTGGAGTGCAGAGGACACCAGGAGCCTCAGGCTCATGACTGTCCTCATTTGGTTCTCCTCCCCTCCTTGTGTACCAATCACCCAAGGAAGGTGATTCATTAGACTTCATTAGACATACTTCCCAGTTCAGTTTCTCTCTTAGCTCAGAGTAAACAAGTGACTCTCTGTTCAGAACTGAATGAATTGCATCTGGTACTTTTAGTCCTTGCATCTTACAGTGAAGATTAAATGGTACTCTGGAGGTTTGGCAAGATGAGACTCACTTCATCACCAGAGAAGAATGGAGTCACTTGGGAGGGAGCACCCGTTCTGGTATGAAATTTCTCCTGATCACAAGTGCTTGTGAAAATTAACCTTTTGCATACTCTCATCCTTCTCAAGGAAAGGCTGAATTGCTTCTCAAGTTTGGTCCTGCCACCTTGGGTGAGAATTCTGGTTTTGTTGCAAAGCTAGAGCTCAGAAACAAGAAAGTACAAGTCCATTTTTCTTGGAGGAAGAGGGCAGGCAGCTCAGCTTACATGAGCATCTGATCCAGCAGTCCATAGCTCCCTGTGTGGGAAGTGTCCCCTTAGCTGTGGAACCCAGGTAGGTAGGTGAACACCTCACCTCGTGACTGCCACACCTTATGACTGCCCATTAGCTGCTGCGTCCCCTCTCCTCCTTCTCTTTTCTTCTCTCTTTCTGGAGGAATAGTCTAGTTTGGTTTGGAGATGAACCTCTGGCCTGGGAAGATCTCTTTCAAATAAGATTATGCCCATCTGTGGCTTAAGAAGTTACTCATTCACCAAGACACATGCTTGTGTCTAGAAGTAATACCATCATGTTACCACAATAATATTAAGTAGAGCATATATAACTGCCATTTTTGTAAATAAAATCAGGAAACTGTAGCCATTTCATATGGTAATTCCCAGTAACTCTTGAGAATCTGAGTTGTGATTTCTGTCATGTAGACAAGTATGATGGACCGAATATTCATTTAATTTCCCTACCAAATTCATGTGTTGAAGCCCTAACCCCCACAGTGATGGTATTTGGAGATGGGGTCTATGGGAGGCAGTTAGGGTTAGATGAGGTCAAGAGGGTCGGACCTTCACGATGGTCTTAGTGCCCTTATAAGAAGGGACACCAGGGAGCTTGCTCTCTTTTTCTCCCCTTTATGCACAAAGAAGAGGTCGTGTGAGCATGCAGGGAAATGGTGGCCACCGCAAGCCAAGAGAAGAGGCCTCAGAGTGAAACCTGCCTCAGTGGCACCTTGATCTTGGACTTCCCAGCTCCAGAACTGTGAGAAAATAAGTTTCTGTTGTTTAAGCCTCCCAGTCTAGGGTACTTTGTTATGATAGCCTGAGCAGACTAAGATACTTAGTTCAGATAGAAAGTGAGAAGCTAATTTGAGTATGTTCTTTATCTGTTCTTGGCCTGTTTTCTTTGGTCTAGGCAAGTCATTTTCAAGGTGTTCTGTGAAGTTCATCTTCATCAGAATCACCTGGGAAGCATGTTAAAAAACCAGAGTCTGGGTCCCAACCCCAGAGATTCTGATGAGGGTTATATGTGTGGCTGGGCTGTGCATTTTTTGTTTGTTTATGTTTTTTCTTTGAGGTAAACTTTACATGTAGTGAAATACACAAATCCTAAGTGTACTGTCTCATGGGTTTTTAACAAATGAGTTGCTTTGTGAAACCCAACCCCTGTCAAGATAGAGAACAACATGACCATCAGCCCAGAAAGTTCCCTGGTGTCCCTTCCCAATCAGTCCCCACTGGGGACCTTCAGTGGCATCCCAGAGCTGTTTATTATGGTGGCAGTGGCTAGAGAGCTACTGTTAATTAATTTGAGCAACAGTGCAACTGAGAAATTTGATCTAGCAGGGGGCGTCTGGGACTGCCATCCTGAATTCAAGGTTCTCAAATCCTGTAGCTCTTGGGTCATATTGATAGGAGCTATATTTTTTAAAAGGGATAGTTGGGCAACTGGTTAGAAGGAAATGGCAATGAGTTCATCTTTGGGCCTATTTTGAAATTGGGTTGTTTCCAGTTCTGAGTGGGGAGGTTGCATTGTTGTTCTGAGTCTCAGATTGGAGCCCATTACCTGCCAGGCTCCTGCTCATTCTTACCTCCTCTTGGAGGGATCCCAAACAATTCTAATTCACTAGTAGGGTTTCCCAGCCGGTCACTTTTCCCTAGCTGTTCCCAGTCGTTCTAAGTGTAGAAGCTACATCATCCTTGGCTTCTGCCTAGTGGCTCACTTAACTGCATCATCTCACTTTATCATGTTGCTGTTTATCTTTTGTAACATAAAGTTTTATTATTTGACATACTATCTCAGTCTGTTCCTTTTGCTGTAATAAAATACCTGAAACTGGGTGATTTATAAAATAAATTTATTTCTCACAGTTGGGGAGGCTGGGAAGTCCAAGGCGCCAACAGATTTGGTTTCTGCTGAAGGCTCACTTTCTGCTTCCAAGATGGCACCTTGTTGCTGTGTCCTCATGTGGCAGAAGATGGAAGGGCAAAAGGGTCAACTCTTCTTCAAAACCTTTTATAAGGGCACTAATCTGTTCATGAGAGAAGAGCCCACATGTTCTAATCACCTCCCAAGACCCCTCACCTCTTAATACCATCACTTTGTGGGTTAAGTTCCAGTGTGCATTTTGGAGGGCCATATACATTCAAACCATAGCATATGCATTATCTCATTTAATCCAGAGCTAATGGTTGACATCCCATCCCACTGGGACAAGAACACATGTGATAGTTGAGCTTAAAGTGTCAAAATATGGAAGGTATTCAGAGGGAACAGTGATAGTGAGCTGGAGAGTTCTGGAAAGATCATGTGGCGGCAATGGGGCTGGAGCTGGACCATGAAGAATGGATGGGGCAGAGGATGGGCAGGCAGGAGAATGGGGGATAAAGACCTCCTAGGCGAATTTAGTATGGCATCTTGGTTTTATTAAATAAGTAGCATTTGATACTCTTTAGTCTACTTTACCTTTTCCTTCCAACAACTCTGTGAATTAGATGGGGCAGATGGTTAAATTCTATTTACTGTTGAGAAATTGAGGTCCAGAGAGAAAAAAAATGCTTTACCCAAGACACACAGTGAAATTAATGGCAGCCTGAGCTTCTCACCCTTGCTGTTTGAGTTTCTCCATGTCACCTGACCACCCACTGGTATCTGACCGCAAAAGACCTTCCTTGCTGACTTCCTGTGGTATTTTATTTTGTTTTGCACAGCATGGTGCTGCTGTTAAAAACTAAGTCTTTTAAAAACATTTCCTCAGTAGCATCAAACACATGTCTTTATCTTCTTGATTCAAGCTGGTCCTGACTTTAATTTGATGTCTTTGGGATATCTTGAGGAGAATAGGGTAAGAATACGTGTGGACTTTCATTCTTGAGAATATAGGAAAGTATTAGATTTCAGAGTCCGAGGTTAACACAGTGGTCACCAGCCTAATGTGGCTATTTAAATTTGAGTTAATTAAGTAAAACTTAAAATTCAGTTCCTGGTTTGCATTTACCACATCCCAACTGCTCAGTAGCAACATGTGGCTTGCAGCTCCTACATTGCTGGTAGAGAAATAGAACATCGCCATTATTGCAGAATGTTGTGTTGGACAGCACTAGTCTAAAGCTGCTGTCTCAACTAAGTGACTTCTCTGTAACCTCTGACTCTCTGTAACTTCTAACTTCTCTGTAACCTTTGACCTTACAAGGTAGGCTTGGAGTGCAGAGGGGTGCAATGAAGTTGTCTGTGATACTGATGCTTATCTCAGGCCATACTGTAATGTTCTCTGGGTCATCTCTCCAAAAGACACAAGAAGTCACTTGTTTTTCACAGAGAGAGAACCTCTGATTCTAGCTATTATACTGACTCTTGTAGAGGTGCTACAGACAGGCCATGATAGGATCTGGAGCCAGTGTGTTATCATTTTTTCCATAGTTATAGATGGAGTGCTCCATGTGTCATTAGTCATTTACAGTGTTGTGTGTGTTAGCCTCAGTGTCTACCCATGAGGATATATGCCTGTATTTTGGAGAGGGATGCAGGGGAGGACAGCTGCAGCTGTATCTGAAGGAATGAGCTGCCATATTGATGCCTCCATCCTTAAGAATGTTCTCTGTTGTGGTTGCTGGTCTCTGGCTGACATTTGGTATGTACATTCTTTGAGTCTGCAAGAATAAAAGGCTCAGTGCAGTGTTATAGGCAGGGGTGTGCTCTTAGTTCAAATGCGTTGAGGGAAGCCGTTTTATGCACAGTGACTTGTACCCTGAACATCCTTTTGGAAAGATGAAGCAAAGAGGGTTATTGTGTGATTTCATCATATACATGGCCTGAATGGATGGTAAGACTGTTGAATGGAAGGTTGGGTACATTAGAGTGTGCTGCCAAAGGCAAAAGGGCTCTGGCCAGGGGCCCAATACTACTGTGAACAGGATGCAAATGATGGTGGCCTCACAGGAGATACACTGAAAGGGGAGTTGGGTGGGACTGGAGCTAACCCCATTTGAGGTCCCCAAGACCATATAATGAAGCAGGAAACCCAACACACAGAGTGCATGAAAGCAGGACACAGTGATGATTCCTGAATGGGCAGAGGGCCCCAGAGAGGGAGACAGTGACTTGGGTTCTTTAAGGGCTCACAGGCTATACCCACAGGCTACAGATTCACCTCATTCCATCTCCTTCTCTGTAATTGCCCTGGTGAGTTTCCAAATGAAGGGAAAGAGCCAATAGCCCTTTAGGAAGAGATGCACTAGATGAAAATCACCTGATTAAAATATTGCTGTTAATCGCGGGAGAGTGGGGTAGGGAGGGAAAAAAACCACAGGCTCAAGCGTTAAAAGCAATAAATTATATGTTAGGCTTTGCCACCCAGTATGACCTTGGGCAAGTCGCATAAGGGCCCCATTCCCTCTGATCCTGGAGCAGGGGGAATGCCTGCCACCTGCCTACCTCATGGGGGTTTTGGGAGGATTAATAAGATAATGTCTGAGCTGTGCTTTGGGCTCCTTGGAGACAGCCACTGTATATCAGGAATTATTAGCACAAGCCAGGACAGTTTCTTGCCCATTCTTTACCTCATTAAGCTACCTATGCCTGATTACATCTGCTTATAAAAGTTCCTGCTCAAAGAAGAGTGGACTGGGAAGGTCATAACCCAGCCTGGATCTCTCCTGGTAGGTTTCATTAAAGCCACTCCCTAAACCCACACTTCTCAGCAACAGGGCACCTTGAAAGCTTAGCGCAGTGCCCCCATCTAATGCCAGAGATGGACAGTTAAAAAGAAAAGAATAAAAGATCCTATGGACTTTTTGCACTTCTGTGCTTTGTGTTACCACTACCAACCCACCCGCATTCTAGCACACCTAGGGGAGTGACTGCCAGATTGCAGGGGATGAGGGACAAGCTCCAGGAGCCTTTAGCTACTCAGTTTTAGACTGAAACCAGGTGGATCTAAGTTCACATACCAAGAAACCTATATTTATTGTGTTTCTAAGTGAGGGCAAGTCCATGTTGTATGAATGTGTATTATGTATAAAAGACACAAAGTAGCCAGGTGCGGTGGCTCACGCCTGTAATCCCAGCACTTTGGGAGGCCGAGGCAGGCGAATCACGAGGTCAAGAGATCGAGACCATCCTGGCTAACATGGTGAAACCCTGTCTCTACTAAAAATACAAAAAGTAGCCGGGCATGGTGGCGGGCGCCTGTCGTCTCAGCTACTTGGGAGGCTGAGGCAGGAGAATGGCATGAACCCAGGAGGCGGTGCTTGCAGTGAGCAGAGATCGCACCATTGCACTCCAGCCTTGGTGACAGAGCGAGACTCCGTCTCAAAAAAAAAAGAAAAGACAAAGTATGTTCAGTGTGGGTCTCTATCCTCAAAGGTCTTCATCCAGTTGGATAAATTTGACATTTATTCCTAGAAAGCTCACTAGCCTTGATATAGACCAGGGGGAGAAGTCAGATTAGGGGATGGAAGCACTTCAGGTCAAAGGGTTCAGAGGCCAAGCCTGGGCCAGGGGCAGAGGGGTGAGGGGAACAACTCAGCTACAACATCCTCAAGTGTATCCAGAGGCCATGCAGACAGAGGCTTGAACCGCAGTTCACAGGAGACTTTCAGGTGCCTGTGATCTTCCTGGAATAGGAGAGGACAGGATTCAAGGCCATCTCCCACCCACCACCTATCTCCTGGGAGGCTACCATGAGACGGTCTCTCATTACCTCCCAGGTTCTGATGAGGATGAACTTCTGTACTCTAGCCCCCTCAGAATAGAGTTGCAGA